AAAAACTTGGACAGTTTTGTTGCAGTGTATTTTTTTTCTTCCACTCACCGTTTGGTTTTAGGAAACCTAAAAAAAACCCAAAAACTATTATTTCTTCATTTCTCTCTAATACCATTTCATTCCACTGAAAGAAAACAGAAGGAAATTTGAGAGACAAAAATAAACAGGCAAATTTGTGAGAATGCATCAATCCGAGCTACAAGGAAGTAGATACTAAAAAGACTATCCACAAACAACAAAACTGTATAAACTTCACCTTCTCCACCCTCAAAGAACAAAATAATCAATTCCATGAGCAAATCTGCAAAAGTCTTACACTGTTGCACTGTCTGCACACATATGAATAATGGCTGTGGTGAATAGGTTATGAATGACAGTGCTCTGTTGAATGGAGATGAGTAGGTGCACATGCACTCAGCACTCTTATGAAATAATGTGTGCTTTATTTAAAGCTGAGAGAAAAAATAGCAATCTGGTTAATTAATAAATTATTTTCCAGGGAACTGCTTAAGTGAAAGAATACAATACATAACAATCCTTAATAAATTAATGTTTTACTCCAAAGGAGGTCAAAACTTTTTTTAATAGTAGTCATATAAATGACCTAGAAGTCATTTATATTATAAGCATATTGAAGAGTTTCTGTAACAGTATATGAAAACTGGACAGCTGTGCACAAATTTACATATATTTACATCTTTTAACTCAATTTTATTTCGAGTTTAATGTGATACTGTTTGCATCACACTATAAGCAGTAAAACTGCCTCTTTCAAGAACTCATTCCCATAAAGTGCCGCTTAGAACAGATGGGAATAGGAATAATAAGGAACAAATATTTACAGCTCTCAGCATATCATGGGCATGTCGGCCTGCAGCAGGACTAGAATATATTCTTACGGATGTGATATTTCAGTGTTTGAAGAAAGCATGTCTTCTCTGCCGTTACGCTTATCAGTTAGCATATGATGTCAATTGATTCCAATCATAATAAAAATTACTTGTTTTCTGTCGTTTCAGCTGAATACAGCTTTTTAATAAAATCATAAAGCCATAGTAAAGTTTTGACAAACTCTTTAGTCCACCTTTTCTAAATACAGAATATTTTTTCCTACAGTGTGTGGTTCTATAACCAATACAGGACACATTGCACAGGTCTTTGAAGGATTGAGTTTTAAAGATAGCAAACAATGAGTGTACTCTTTCTCTAAAATCTATTTCTATTATTCAGGGGAACAGTCCAGACTTTACTTTAATCTCCTTTATATTCATCAGTCTTGACTACCTGCACAATAAACTGTGTTTCAGTAGCTAAATGGTGTATTTTTAGAGTAAAATCATTTTAAATATTTGTGATTTGATGTCTTGCATGTGTTTATATATGCCACATCAGTTTTAGAGTTGCCAGAGTTCACTACTCTACTGCAAAATATTGAATCTCAATGGACTTTCCTGGGGTGTCATTCTACCATTGTGCCCTCTGTATTTTTTTAAAGTTTGTAATTTCTCTTCTTGATCACTGTTTCTCCTCCCTTATACGTTTGAAACCTAGCTTCAAGTTCATTCTCTCCCAGTTTATTAAAAACCAAACTCTCCAGCAACCACTTACAGCTTCTGCTCAAGGGCCAGTGTCAAGAATTGATTCTCATAAGATTTATCAGATAGCCTGCTGCTTCTTTTTGTTTGGTTCGGAGGAAGGTACCTCTCACGTCAACCTATATAAAGCTTTTAAAATGCTTTTCCAGGAAACTCACAACTAACATAATTACTTTGACAACAGAATTGCTTATATCTCTTCCTTTAAAAAATAACAATAAAAAAATTTGAATGGAGGACTATATTGTTAAGTTCTAGTACTACAATCAACAATTGCAGAATTAAAATTAAAAATTGCACTAATTCCACCCAAGTCTGTAAACATATTGTTTACAATAATTGTCCATTTTAGCAATACAGAAAACAGCTTTAAATGATGAACTGTATAATTTTTAGAAATAAAATTTTTAACCTCCTAAGAGGTGTTACCTCCTCTATTCCCAGCAAAGCACCCACTTTTAAAGTGTAAAAAGAACAAATTTATATCCTAACAACATTAGTTTCAACTTTTCTTTAAAAATCATAGCCAGGTTATTCATCATTATTTCAACAGGCTAATTGCAGATACTTTTTGACAGTAGTAACATAAATGCAAGTATTTTTTTTTTGCTGCATGAGAGTGAAAAAGTAAAATAAAAGATAGGTTAAAAGGAATCTGATTTTGATCAATGAATTACTTTCCAAGAGTGAAGACAGGGAGAGGAAAAAAAAACAACAAAAGAGAAAACGTGATACACAAAAATTAAATGGGGGAGATGCTCATATTGATATCAAGTGATCCATATTTTCAACTTGAAGTTTATAGAACATTTTCGGTATGTCACTAAATAGTTTAGCTAAGTTTACTGTAGCTATCAGAGGATGACATATATTCTTATATCATGAGAATCCATTTCTTACATTTAGATGGTAACGTGATGGTTTTTAGATATTCCTTTGTTCTTAGTTCATGAAGAAACATCATTTCATGTATTTTGAAAAAGCAGTATAGTAGGATAAGTTCTTGTGTTATTATAGCAGGACTGAAAATAAACTCAGTTGGAGTTCAGAAATTTCAGAACAGTTTTAATACAAGAGTGAATGTGTAAGTTTTTCCAAGCAGCGAAAAAACTATGAAAATACCCAGAATTACTTTATTTAAAGGGAGATATTAAAGGAACTGAAACTTTGAAACTGTAGATTACTGACAGAAGGTAAGAAAATCTCAGTAAATAATAAATCAAAGGGAAAGTCAAATGGTATAGATGAAGTGTTCCAAAATATTAAGAAAAAAATCATAATAGAAATTAAATTATTTCAAATGTTAAATAAGAGTACTGAAGTATTTAAATTTAGTTACTCTATAAGAAGAGAATATTCTTGGGGCACTGTGAGCAGTATACCAAAATGGTGGCAGTAACAGAGACATTTTATAGAAGATTGGAAAAACCACAAAGGCAGAAAAAAAAAAGCAGTAGTAGTACCTACATATAGGATGGACAGTTTCTGGGTATTAAATTTGTAGGAGTTAATGCAGAGAGGAAATTGTCTGCATGCTGAAGTGGTCTCACTTGGAACTAGTCTGAGAAACAACTGAATTAGTTCCTGTTTCAGTACTTCTCTGTACCTGGAACTTAGTATAACTATTGAAAAAATAATCTACAACACTGATCGCAAAATGTGCCAGCTGATGATTTTGTATGAATGAAAAGCCAAAAGCAGAAGGCTGTTCAAATAATAGAACTTCAAAAAGTAAAACTACATAAAAATGAGAAAACTTGTAAAAAGGAAATAAATAGATCCACTAACAAGATAGAAAGTTTACATGCAGCATAGCAACTGTTTCAAATTATATTTAAAACTCAAAGGTAGTATGTTCTACTTTTCCAGAAAAATCTCTAAAACTACATAGAATCAAAACCAAAAAATCACACTGTGTTTTAGTAGTTAAGGAGTCAGACTAAAAAGAATATAATTCAAAAACTGGAGACAGTACCAAAAGAATGGAAACAGAAAGGAACATAAATTATTTTATGTGTCAAACCACAAAAAGACAAGCCAAAAAATTACTTTGAAGAGCAACTTGGTAAGGACATAAAAACCCCCATACTAAAACATTTAAATTTCATCAGTAGCAGGATTACTTTCCAGAGAGTCAATGAGGTTGACAGATGATAGAGATGTCGAAGAATTACTCTGAAAGGAAAAAGCCCTGTCACAGGAGAAATATAATTCTTTGTCTCTGTGACCACCACTGAGGGGACACTATAGACCGATATCAGGGACTTTTTGCAACAGATAGAACTGAATTTTCTGAAACCAATGTTGATTCATGAATGCAGGATGCATTGCTTACTCCATTACATATCCACTTCTGTTGTGCTGTACAGATTGCTAATAGAAATGTAGTGTATGTGCCTAGGCAAGGAATCATACCTCGTATGCTAAAACCATTTTGCTGAAGTAATATTTCCTGATACCTGAGCTAAACCTCCTCTGGTGCAACTTGAGGCCATTTCCGCTCATCCTGTCACTTGCTATCTGGAAGAAGAGTCTGACCCCCATCTGCTTGCAGGTAGTTGTAGACAGTTAAGATCTCCCCTGAGCCTCCTTTTCTTCAGGCAACGCCAGTTCCCTCAACTGCTCCTCACATGACTTGCGCTCCAGACCCTTCACCAGTTTCATAGCACTTCTCTGGACATGATTCAGCACCTCAATGTCTTTCTTGTAGTTAGGGGCCCAAAACTGAACACAGGATTCAATGTGTAACCCCACCAATGCAGAGTACAGGGGCACGATTACTGCTCCGGTCACGCTGGCCACACTATTCCTGATGCAGTTCATGATGCCACTGGCCTTCTTGGCCACCTGGGCACACTGCTGGCTCATGTTCAGCTGGTTGTTGACCAGATCCTCTTCTGACAAGCAGCTCTCCAGACACTCATCCCCAAGCCTGTAGCATTGCATGGGGTTGTTGTGATCAAAGTGCAGGACCCAGCACTTCATCTTGTTGAATCTCATAAAATTGGCTTCAGCCCATCAATCCAACCTGTCTAGATCCCTCTGCAGAGCCCCCCAATCATCCAGCAGACCAACATGCTCACCCAGCTTGGTCATTTGTAAGTTGACTGAGGGTACACTCGATAGCCACATTGAGATCATCAATAAAGATATTAAACAGGACTGGCCCCTGTACTGAGCCCTGGGGAACACCACTAGTCACCGGCCATCAAATAGATTTAACTCCATTCCTCACCACTCTCCAGTGACTTTTCTACCCAGAAAAGAGCACACATAAGGATGGCCTCTAACATGGGCTGAAGCATCTGTCTCTAGCACCAAAGGCTTTGACCCAGGCAGAAATCCCAAGACACAGTAGTGCTTTCCAAGGCCTCTTTCTGGATCTGGGAACAGCAATGTGTTTACCTGTAGTAGGTGTACTCTGGCTGCAGCACAGGGTCACTAGGTGAAGAAGCTGCACAAGAAGGTAGGCAGACTCCACCTCTTCAGGGAAGATGAACAGGCAATGCAGGGTCTTCAGGTCTTCACAAAAACCGTACAACATCAGGAGCCCAAGCCTTGCTTTGTAAAGACAGACTCATAAAAGATAAAAGGTTCTTGAAAATAGTTAGCATAGATCAACCAGGGATGAACCACCTGCATGTGAAGAGAAATGGGGTCTTTCAATACCTATGCATAGTATACTAAGAATATGGATTCAGACTTTTGGTAGTGGTGCATGACAGGAAAATTAGAGGCAGTAGGCATTAACTGAAACAGAAGAGGCTCCACCTGAAGTTAAGGAAAACTTTTTCACCACCCAGAACTGGAAGAAGTTGTCCAAAGACACAATGCAATCTCCATCCTTGAAGGTTTTCAAGATCTAACTGAAACAAGTGCTGAGAAACCTGGTTAAATACCATAGATAAACCTGTTCTGAGCAGGAAGTTGGATCAGTAACCTCTTCAGATCTTTTCCAATCTTAAGAATTCTGTGATTCTAATTAGGGATAAACAGGAGATGGATCTGAAAAGTACATCGTGATCTGAACTAAAGTACTAATTTAAGTGCATCCCACAGACATGTACTGTATACTGAAGTAGTGTTGATACAGGAAATAAAGAAAATAATGCATCGTAAACTCTTCAGGGTTCATTGAAATTGTCAAAGTGCATTCAGATGATCATACTGCAATTGCACTCATTAATTTCAAAAAGAAATTTGGACACTGACCTTCACCAAAGACTTTGACAAGAAAACAGAAGAAAAAGGGCATGATTTTTTCATGGTTAATATATTTTAAAGGTAAGAAAGAAAGATAGGAATAAATAATAAAGTTTTCTAATGGAAGAAGATCAACAGTATACATCTATGCTATGGATGCTGATACAAAGATACTATGATTTCACAAAAGAAATGGGAAAATTATTGACAAATTCAATACTGATACCAAATTATTCAAGTTAATCAGTGTAGTGCTATCTCTTAAATGTAATTGAATAATGGAATAACAGAGGATATTGAATATTGATAAAAGATGAATAAAGGCAACATAAGGCATATTTAGAAAAGCAGCCCTAATTATGCACGCATAGCGATGAGTCTTAAATCAGTCATTAACTCAGGAAACAAACGTTAGAAAGACTTGAGACAATCCAGGCTCATGTAAAGCTTGTACTTAATTATGACATGAGGAAAATCACTTCTACTGCAGATAACTTTCTGTTCTATTGCTCCCCTGCAATAACCCTCATATGAGATAGCATGCTGATAGCTATCTGTGCTAAATGACTGATCAGTACAAAGACATTAGTGACTTTGCAGCCCTGCAGGATAGCAATCCATCTCTGTATCTAACACCTGCTTAATGGACCACAGGACATCTCTAAATCTCTTTACTGACATATTTTGCAAAGGCCACCCTAGTGTTAAGCAGCAATGAAACTGGTTTTACTGAGACAGGACTTTCTATTTGCGTAGTGGAAGACAAAATATGGTGCATACAAAATTTCTTTGAAGTGACTGTTGATGTTTCTCAGTACCTGCAGTGAAGATTAAATTAGCAACCATGGGATGTGTTTGGTTTTCTCTCCTCTGAAAACAAAACTTGCAGTTTTTCCTACAAATAAATCTCTCAATGATTCTCCTTTCGATTGGGAATATTTAGTAAGGATTGTATTTACAAACTGACTATATATTTCTTCCTGGTGTATGCATATCTAATATGCACAGCAATCTTGATAACATCATAATTTTAAAACACTAACAATTTTTAGAATTATTTTTAGTATTACCTCCTCTAGGTTATGCAAATTGGCATATTTGTTTGTTTTCATAAATCCAGGGGAACATCCTATTTCAAGGTTTAGGTAGCAGCCTTCCCAAAATCCTAGACTCAGAAGATTCCTCTTTATTCCACATGATGTACATTACTTTGAAAATATCAGTCATTCTCATATTTTCATCTTTCTGAGTAAATGCCAGAGTTTACATCTTAATACTCTGATCATTTTCTCTTATCCTGTCCATTAATTTCCTTTCTCCTCTTTTTTGTTTGCCAACTCCCTCCTCGTTGTGAAGGTGCCAGCAACGCTTAGAAACATTCCAAATAAAAAATACACTTTAAAGTGCATGATGGCTGTGAATCACATATAACCTACCAAAAAAAAATTCATAATGTTCCAAATTAATTTAGTCATATTCCTGTGCCTTCCTAGTCTCTTTCTCCTCTCTTATTTAAAATATGTGGTTTTTCATGTACCTATTTAAAAAACTGCAGTTGTTCTTCTGTTCTACAGGCCAAATGAGGGCACTTTGTGCAGCTTGATATAAAATTTGATCATGAGGGTTTAGAAAACTCTCACCAGTTCCATACACATTCTGGAAAATATGAAATTGCATTAACAATGCCAATATGAGGAGGAAAGGGAGAAAAAGATAATGTGAAAGACATGTAAAAAGAAGCAGATAGTCCAAACTATGTATTTTCCCTACAAATCATCTTGGTTTACTCTGCGTAAACCAGTGATTCATGCTGACAATATTTCCAGTTTCTTGAAACGAACAGGTTTTTCAGTCCCTATCTGTCTTATACCTTAACACTGAATGCCCTCTAAAATGTGCTTATGAAGAGGCCAAAAACAAGAACATGTATTGCAGATGAGAGCATACGAGCACACATTTCCATATTATTCTTTGATTTAGTTTTTCACTTAGACTTTTTTTTTTTTCGGATATTATCTTAGCTAGTGGACTTAATATGTTCAATAAAAAGCCACATTCGTATCCTAAGCTGACAAAACCAAATTTTGGGCACAAGTATTCAAATAATTCCATTTGTGTTGCTTTTCCTCTATTAGCTGTGATTTTTCTCCATGGTTGAGTTAAAAATCTTCTCAATCATCAAAATTTTTTGGATCTTCAGTATCATTGTTTCCACCTTTTCCACCTCATCAGTGAATAACACGCTGCAGAACATTGTTTTTTGCTGTAAGCCACAGTCATTCTTTACCCATTGCTAAAAAATTAATTATTCTCATGGGGTTTTTTTTGTTTTATTTTAGTCAGTTTTTGATTTATGATAAAACTTGTCTTTTACACAGCAATAATTTAACTTCATAAATAGCTATTTGTGAAGATTTTTCTGAAGATATCTGAAAAATATTTGAAAATGTTGAGATGTCTAGTTCTCCACTATTCAATATTGTCTGCAAGAAAAAAAAGAGAAACAGAAACTAAGCTTGAGCACAAGAAGGATGAAAATTTGAATGTCTGTAAATGCATTGTAAAATTAGACACCTATAAAGAAAGAACAGGCAGCATTAGAAGCAAAGATTTGACATTATTTCAGTCAACGGAAGCACCAAAGTTAAGGTTTCTTGCTCATTGATGATTCATTATCGTAATTTTCATGGAAAAAAAATGCATTTGCTTTCAAAATGTTTGCAAACTAACTGTCTCTAACAGTGCTCTAACTGTCTAGGAGTTCCCTCTCTCTTTAAAGCAATGCCTTAGCCATCTGTTATTTGACTACATATTTGGCTCTTTCTTCTTTCCCTGTTAAGAAGCTAATGGAGAATAGACAGAAACTGCAGATCTGAAAATTTTATTTTAAAGCATTCTCTATTTACATACTACTAAAATTTGTTTGTAAATCTTTCTCTAATTTTTAAGCTGTCATCATATCTTGTCTGATATATGGTTACTCAGTGTTAGGAGGCCTTTATTGCATATAGCTGGTGATCCACACACTAACATTAGAGATTAGCTCCAATAGTGCATTAAACATTTTAAAAACATTCTCTGACACTTAGGACAGTTGACAAGAAAGAATTGTCATCATATGTTCATAAACTCTTTCAGCTCACAAAACGGAATGGCTTCATTCAAATTTGCTATCGGGCTGCTGAGAATAACTCCTGGATCTACCTATGTGTTGAACTCTGTCCAGTAATTCTTGGGGAAAAGACTAGTTGGGATATGGCAAACTTGAGCCACATTCTAACATCTCTACTAGAGATGATCAAATTCCACTGCCTGAGCACATTCACAGGAAGTGCTTATTTTAATTAAAAGACAGCCTTGGTATACCATAATTTAGCTCAGAATATTGATTTTTTGGGCATATATAATTTCATTTTTAATATGTTACTTTGTTCAATTCCCACTTCTTTGCCCTATTTTGCACTTAGATTTTGAAAAGAACATTTTCCAATTTTTCACTCTTTCTTTTAAGATTCCCATGTTTCTGTAATGTTTAATTAATTTAATGTTTCTGTAAGACTGTAATATCTATCAACGCTTGAAAACATTTTTATATATAAATTTGATATGTTCCAGTGATGTGTTTACACATCACTAGAACTGTATCTGTGTTTCTCTTTGTTGTTTCTATTTTTTTTTTCCATTTATGAAAACCTACCTGTTTTCAAGTAGTGCAGCTGACTCTTACTTAGGTCCTGTTCTTGTATATACACATCGTTTTCACCTGTCCACAAGTAGAAGCAGAATGATTGATAAGTCACCAGTGGTCTGGCTGGGTTATATAGCATGAGGTGATTTATTAAATTTAACAAATATTTTGTGATAAGCTGTGTCACAATGATCATGGAAAACTACTGATACTGTGTTTATTGATGTGTCAAAACTCTTGGTTTGGTTAATTTCATGACAAATTAAGAATTTAGGGGTTTGTGATCAAGTGGTAAATTGGTTTTCTAGTTACTTAATTTTCAGAAAACAAATTGTGAAGCTTCAAGGTACCTGATTACAGCCTCTTACTGCAGCCTTACCAGAAGTACAGTCAGTTTTACGTAACATTCTGTAAATGATTCTGTCAGCAGCTCCTACGTTCAGACATTCACTTACGTGTAGTACCTATCTGACTACGGCTCATTGTCATAGGAAAATTAGAAACTATACCATAGCTATGATTTATACAAAAACTTCTTTAAAATAGACTATTTTTGAGGCTGTCATCCTGGGGATGGGGAACTGTAGGGGCTCCCCATAGGGGTGATTGGAGAAAAACCCACAACCAGGAAGCAGGACAGGCTGGAGAGAGGCAGAGGCAGCCTCAACCCTGGGCACTGGGCACCTCTACTCTATGGGGACAGCGATGTGCCAAGGCCAGCCTGGGACATCTGGCCACAGGTCAGGCCCAGATATAGCAAATTGGTAGCTTACAAGATTTTCTTTAACACTTTACTGTGGATCATACAGAACCGCATGAAAAATATCATCCTTTGAGATATTTAATTTTGCATTTTTTTTTCATTAGGCAATTGATTATTAAACAGAGCTAGAGAAAACAATCTTTAAGTCTACAACAGTAAATATTATTCACTGATATTTGATAATCTATAAATATATATGTTAAGATAAAATATTAGGAAAGATTAGAACTAAAATGTCAGGTAATTAAATGATGCACTTGATAACTGCACACAATATTTAAAAACAAAACAAAACAAACAAACTCCAAACTAAACCTAGAAGTTAATAAAACCAAAAGTTAAAGCCAAAAAGGACTTTTTCTTCCCTTAATCAACTTTCTTCATTACCGTGCATTAACAACATTAGCTCCAGTTATGTGTCAATTTATACACAAATTTTAAAATTGTCAGGGAAGAGATCAAATCTCTTCAAATTTTACAGATTACCCCCCACACAGGAGTGACACTTTCTTTACACTAATAATAACCTGTGGTACTAACATTACACTGATAATAACAATGTCAATAGTGTCCTATATGTCCCCTGAATCAGTAGCTCTAAGATTGATCCCTGGATTCTTTCACGGATTTTACATGGAAATCACCATATTACTTTGACATGAATCTTAGGCACTGAAGTTGATTAAACTTTCTGTATACGTAAAAGGAAATATGCGCTTAAGAATTATGTTAAAAGAGGTGTTGGTGAACTTGAGAGGAAACCTGTACTCGGGCACTTTTATGACTGTTCTTTCAAATGATAAATAAATCAATTTTTTCAGTCAACGTACAGTAAGTTTGTAGTAGAAGAAATAAGGCAATATATAGTGTTTTAATATAACATCATCAGAATATATTACAGACAGAATAAAATTATGCAATATTATTCTTTAAATCAATGCAAAATGCAAATTTAGGAAATAAAGAACAAATTTTATGAATGAATAATAGCTTTTTTTTAATTTACGTATACTTACTTAAGGACCTAATTTAAAATAAAGATGATGAATACTGCTTCATTATTTCTAAGCTGTGTTTAATTACTTAAAGTTAACAGCACATTTGGAATAAATTTAAGATTTCACAAGAAAAAAGAATATAGCAGACTAGATGTAGAAAAAAAGGAATACTGCAGCTAGAAACATTTCAGAGAAGGTGACATATGACAAAACATCTGGAACAGCCTCCATAAGGAAGGCAGTGAAGTCATGGAATCACAGAAATATTCATTGGATGACACTTACGGAAGTTATCTGGCCCAGCATCTGCTAAAAGCAGTGTTACTGCCAGTTCTAGATCAGGACAACCGTGGCTTTGTTTAGACAAATCCTGAAACTTCCAAGGATAGAAATTCCACAGCCTGTTTTGGTAGCCTGCTCTGTACAAATTCTAGTGTTGCCTTATCCTCCCAGAGGAAAAAAAGGATTTTCCTCATGTCCAGTCTCAACCTTCCAAGCCACAAATTTTGATTGTTGCCCATTGTCATACTATCTGCTGCTACAGAGGAATTTGACTTCATTACTTCTGTAGCTCAGGACATCAAGTGTGAACTGCTACTTTGTGTGTCCCTTCATCCTAGAGATGATTGCACAACTAACATCTCAGCCATGAGCTCCAGCACAGAGCATTCTCCCACAGCACTGCAGGCTTTCTGTGAGTGTAACGGGCTGTGCTCAAGCATTCCAATAAGAGTTGTTGAGAAGAGCAGGAAGAAGCCTAGAAGGGTGTCTCTTCTTCATTACTTTTGGAAATAGATTAAAAAACATACTGAAGCTTTAGCTCTGTAAATTCTCTTATTTATTACGCCTATTTATCACAAAACTAGATACAGTTTTTAAGAATAGGGGAATAAATATCAGTTCCCTGAGGGCACCAGTTGGCCTTAATGACCATTGACAGCCCTGTGGTTTCCACCACTCAAGCCCTCTTCCACTGAACTAGGGATTCCATTTAAGCTCATGTTGGGACCTTTAGTCCTGGCCTGACATATTTTGTACGTTTCCAGTATTTGTGTTTGGCCATTAACCCTTGACTGTGGACTGACTTCCAGGATTGTCATCAGACCTCCAGTGACTGGATTTTCCTGTTAGTTGCAGGGATGTGTCTGATCCAGTCCCCACGATCAGGCCTAAGACTGCTGCAGACTGACTTCCTAGCTTTACCTTGGACCTTCTTCATCAGCCATGGACTTGCTTGATGATCTGGACTTGGCTGAACCTCAGTGCCATATCTGTGCCTGCCCTGCATGCCTCACTTGGATACTGTGCAACAGAGCTCTGACTGGAAAAGTCCCTGCCTTCATGGATGTATTAATGCCCTTGATTTCCAGCAGCCTCTTGTTTAGAGAACAGCTGGCCTTACTGTATACTGTTTTTTTTCCATTGGGCCAATCCTTTTCTGCCAAGCTCTCACTCAGTCAGCCCCTTCCTAGCTTGTCATGATGCATATGTTTATTCTTGATGAGCTTCAGAAAGCTTCTGTTGATCAATATGGAGTTCAGGGATGCTCCACTTATTATCAGCCACCAGACATCAAGCCATTAACCATCACCCTATGAAGATGATAGACTACCCAGTTTTAAATCTATCTAAATGTAGATACATTCAGTGTATATTTCCTACAATAATATTTTTCAGCCTTGAAGACGTAACTGAAGATGAACATGATAGAGGTCTTTAAAATAAACACTGACATGAGAAAATTGAATAGACATCTATTCTCTGGGTTTTCCAATGTAACTGTTAGAGGTCATAAGCTGAAAGAATAAGGCACAAATTCAGAACAAAGATAAGAAATAGCTTCTTCTCAGAAGAAAAAAATCCCCACTGGAATAAATAAAGAAAATAATGCAAAATTCATCAAAATAAGAACTAACATTTGTCCTGAGCGGAGTGATTGTACTACATACCACTGTAAAGAGGAAAATTGTATCAGAAAAGAATGACCAAAGTAGTTCTTACACTCTTCCATTGATGTGCTATTGACTAGTAGATAGTGAGTGAGAAGGATGCTTCTTGTAGCAACCAATGCCATTCATGTCTTATAAAGACACTAGTTTGAGTAAGAAAAAGTAAATTTTTTTCTTACAGAAATGAAGCCCGACCATGTGTTACACCCTATTATTAACTAAAGTAAGAGAGGTACATAAAAAATTACAGTCTATTTTTAAAATATGTATCTACTAAAATACAATATGATAGTATGGTATGGTACCCAAAAGTATCTGCCATACTCTTCCTTTTTGATCATCTGATCTGCATAATGTAAAACACCAGTGAAATTATCAATATAGATTATTTGCTGATGTGTGGACTCAAGCTGTTGAGGGAAACATGGTTTTGAAACTTAGTTTCTTTATCCTTTCCATCATTTAATGACTAGAAATTCATCAAGAAAAACAGATAAGAGATTTTCTTTGCAAACAAGAACTAACTTGTCAGAAGTTGCTATTTTAAGTGTATCCTGTTGTTAGGGTAACTAAAGTTCTAAAAATACTTTAAATAAAAAGGACATCACCTTAAAAGCTACTCAAGTAGTCATAGTAACAGTATTTTTTGAAATAAAAGCAGTTCATAGAGTTTTTTTTCCTCCTGACCTTAAGCTTTACAAAAATACACAGCCAACTCCTTTTTATAAAGTACATGTGTTTATCTGAAGTCAGATAAAATTAAGAATATGTTAAAGTATCCCAAAGAATTTTACATGTATGGAGGTTACTAACCAATTTAACAGGACTTTAAAATTTGTATCTTTCTTTTCTGTATTTCCAGAGAGTATGTTTCTTCTGCAGTTTTACAAGGGCTTATGTCAAAAAGCACTTTCTTACATTAGTACTATAATAAATACATATTTTAGAAATCTTTTTAAACATTCATGTACATTCTTTATCAGATAGACTATTTTCTCCATTGTTTCCTTTCAAAAATATGTGTTAATGAAATATTACTCTCTTGTTAGTAATAAAGACATCTATTCCTGCAAAGAAGAAATGTCCTTTTGAAACCTAAAGCACAATTTTACTACACACTGTCATTACTTAAAAACAGTGCTTCTTTTCAAAACAGTGACCCTTCTGTGTACCTCTGTGTAGTAGCACCTCTCTTCAATTTGTAGCACACTATTATTTTCATTTATGTATTCAGATACTTGTTTAAAATTTGCCTTCTTAAATAGAATCACTAATATTTTTGATTATTTTTAGTGACCAACATAACTAAGAGAATAAGAATGATATTAATCCTTCTTGCACTTCATTAACAGAGTTGTTAAATAA